CTGGAGAACCCTACCCCAACACCAACCGGACAACACACCACCAACCAAACACCACCCAAATACTACCAACCCAAACACCACCCAAACCACTCCAGCTCACCTAAAAAAGACACTACTGAAGAAAAACGAAAAACGGAGGGGGAAGAAAGAGGAGGGGGGCGGGGAGAGGAAGCCTCGGTGGTGACGAGTAATGAAGAGATTTCTGCTTCTTCAGATCTGTATAATTCTTCTTCAAATCTGCGCCGGAGATTCTCTTCCGGTGGTGACGCCGCTGCGCCGGAGCTTCTCCAGGGGGCGGCGCTACTACTGAGAGAGAAGAAGGGAGTAGGTTTGAGAGACGGAGAGAGGGGGAGGAGAGGAAGGAGAATTACACCGATCGCGGCGTTGGATTCACCGCCTGTCGCCAGTAACGCTCCTCCGATGAAGCGCCTTCTCATCTTTCCCCGTCGGGATTGGTAGACAGTGAATGAGAGGAGAGAGAGAAGAGAGGGGGTAGAGAGAGAAAGGAAATGAATTTTGTTTTGGAAATGAATTAGGACAGTAAAAATATTTATTTTATAAAAATATTAATTAAAATAAAAAATCTGATTTTGGAAATATTAAACTTCCAATCTGATTTTAGAAGGTTTAATAATTAAAGTATGGTTTTGTGTAATTACCACATTAATTAATTATCCAACACTTGTCAATTAATTAATTGGTAAATCTCATTCTTCTAGTTCTCTTTTGTGTGTGACCTATTAGGTTCTCGATCACGATATCTAACGATGTGAATTATTATTTTGATCTAATCAAAATCGATAAATTAAAACACCCATTTTAATTTATATGGTACTCCATTATCTATTGTGTTAGATAAATTAAAACGATAGTCGCTAGATGAAATAGTCAGCTCATATGGTACTCCATTATCTATTGTGTTAGATAGAGATCATCGATTTACATCTAAATTTTAGCCTAGTTTGCAGGAAGCTATGGGTACTAAGCTACATTTCAGTATATCATTTCATCCTCAGACATATGGTCAATCAGAAAGGACTTTACAGACTCTTGAGGATATGTTAAGGACTTGTGTTTTAGAGTTCAGAGGTAATTGGGATATTCATTTGTCTTTGATTGAGTTTGCTTAAAATAACACTTACCACTACAGTATAGAAATGACTACTTTTGAAGCTTTATATGGTAAAAAGTGTAGAATGCCAATATGTTGGGATGAAACTGGTGAAAGGAAGTTAGTATGCCCTGAATTGATTCAAATGGCTTCAGAAAATATGAAATTGATTAGAAAGAAGTTGAAAGCAGCACAAGACGGACAGAAGCGTTATGCAGAAAGCGCAGGGAAGATCTTGAATTTGCAATTGAAGATAAAGTACTTTTGCAATTGTCACCTTGGAAAGAGGTGTTGAAATTTGGCAAACGGGGAAAGTTGAGTCCACAATATATTGGACCTTATCAAATTATTGAGCGGATTAGTCTAGTTGCATATCAATTAGATTGCTAGCTAAATTATCCAAGATCCATGATGTTTCCCATGTTTCTATGATTCGCAAGTACATTGCAGATGCTTCTCATGCGTTAGCTTCTCAGTTAATTCAGTTGAAGGAGAATTTGACCTATATAGAAAAGCCAGTGAGAATTCTAGACAGAAATGTGTAAATTCAGCGAAATTAGACAATTTCACTTGTCAAAGGTCCTTTGGAAGAATCATGCGGTTGAAGAGGCTACATGAGAGAATGAGGATCAGATGCGTGTCCAATATCCTCATTTGTTCATTGACCGTCGCTGCAGCAGCAACCACCGGAGTATTGATTGCAACGAGGACGCTACTGCTACCGGGTCGTGGCAGCGGCCTTGTGGGGCAACACACTGCTACTACCATGACTTGGTGGTGTAGCTGTCGGTTCGGTGGCGGCGCCCTTGCCGCCAATGTTTTTAGATAAAAAATTTCCCCTATTTTTTTTGTAAACAAAATTTATTTTTCATTTCCAAATCAGATTTAGAACTAGAAAATCAATTTTTCTTTGAAAGCTAGAAACATGAAAAATGTGAACAATCAACTTTTGATTGTTATATAATACGAAACAATTTCTAACAAACACAAAGTAGACTCTGATACCACTGTTGG